ATATAGTAAATTAACAAATTATGTTAACTATCACAATTATACAAAATTGTTAAATATGATATTTAATATAAAACTACGAAATTTTATTAAACATCATATATATTAGCATTAAACAATACTTTCAAAACTTTCTGATGTAATTATACCCAAGTACTTAAATATAATATTATTATACTTAAGTACTTGGGTATATAACAATAAACATAATAACTAATTTTCTTTTTTCTTACAGAAAAAAGCTATCTATAAAAAAGGCAATTGATTTTATTACAGAGTTGTGAGACCAAGTAAGCAATATGACTATTCAGAACTGTTGACGCAAGACTGAAATTCTTTTGAATACAAATGAGTCAGAAATAGATATTGTGGACCAGCACGTTGAAAATGATATCATGTTAGATAATGAAGAAATTGAAACTATAATTTTTAATTTACCAAATGAGAGTTTATATACAGCCAAGACTACCTGGGCCATGTTAACATATATACAAGCCATTAATAAACCTATTGCCACAGAAGAAATACTTGATGATGAGGAGATAATTTTTATGATTCAAACTAAGAAAAATGATATATCAACCGGGCAAGCAATTGAGGAAGATGATAAAGATGAGGCACCTGAACTACTAGTAATAGTTGCTGAAGTATATAGTGCAATACAAACCATTGTTCACTATGAAGAGCAAGAAAATTTAGAAACAAATCCATCATTAAAAGAATTAGAGTTTTTAAAAAAACTACTCAAAGAGTATAAACATATAAATGAAAAGACAAAAAAGCATCAAGGATTACTAATTTTTTTACTTCCCAGGATTTGTACTCCAATAACTTGTATTCCCAAGATTCGTATCCTCAAGATCTATATTTTTAAGACTCATATCATCAAGATTCATATCCTCAAGATACATACTTACAAGACTTGTATCCTCAAGATTTATATTCCTATAACTTATATTCCCCAGACTTATCTTCCCAAAACTTATCTTCCCAAGACTTGCAGAGTTTATATCTACAAAATCTGCATTCCCTAAATTCATCTTTCTTTTATTTCCAAGAGTCACATTTTTAGTTAATGTTTTAGATACATGTTGTTACAAGTGAACTATAGCCTTCGTTAAAATATAGTACTTGCAACACAGCACACAGTGACAGGGATCTATATAGGGTCAGAATAGATATGAAGTGGTGTAGAAGTGGAATATGACTTCACTAGGGCGATTTGGTATAGTTTATACAAAAATAAGATATGTGTTTATTAAGATATATTTATTTACAGTACAATATCAAGATATAAAGCTATTCTAAAGTATCTATGTCTAAAGAATCCTAATAACTTAAAGATTGTAGAGAACAAATCCTAGAGTGCAAGAGAGAGTAAAAGCTAGGGTTTATATAGCTTTTACAACTAATATAATTTATATAATAACAACAATACAAAGGTAGAAAGGTATAAAATGTATAAAAGGTACTAAATGTATAAAAGATACAAAAGGTACAAAAGGTATAAAAGGTATAAAAGGTATGAAAGGTATGAAAGGTATGAAAGGTACAAAAGGTACATTTCGTCTATCGTCTATCTTTGTTTCTCAATTGCCGGCTATCCGATAGTCTGTTTAACATGTATTGTAGCTCGTTATGATCGTCATGATCTTCCAGATCTTTTGGGAATATAATCTTTAATATGTTTCTAGGCGTTCTATAACAACATAAAAAAATTGCATTATTTGAATTTGGCCATGTCCACCACCAGTTCGTTTAGATCAGATTGGAAAGACTATTGCAGGTTAAAAGTACTTCTTTATATTCCTCATTGAAATATAATAGAATTCTTAGAAGGTGATAATGAGGTACAATGGACAGAAATATATCAATATAATACAGTACTCTAGCATATTATTGTGGACACTTTTTAAAAATTTATAACAAGCTAAATAAGTATAGTATTAATTTAAAAATTATACAATAAACTTGTTAAATCTAAAGCTTTTAAATAAAAAAAAGATTATAAAATTTTATGCAGTACTTTTTGAGATAATTATGGTTATACAAAATTGTGTAATATTGTACAAAACCGAAAATAGTAATTTTTACAATTTTGTTATTATAATTTTTATATATTAAATACTAATTTTTTATTAAAATAAAATTATTAATATTAAAAATTATATATTGTATTAAATTTTTATAAATTTTTTTAAAAAATTATATAGCATTAAATAGTATAAAATAAAATAATTAAAATGCTAAATTTAAATAATAAATTATTAAAAATAGTAATTTTATTACTATATATAGTTATTTAATAAATATTTTTTAAAAAAATTTAAAATTTTTAAAATATATATAATTTTTTATACCAAATAACTTTATTTAAAAAAAAATTATATTACTTAATAAAAATATTATGTTTTATATATAATAAATTGTAAATAGCTATAAATTTATATTATATAAAGTTTTATTGAATATTTCAAGAACTAGTAATTAGAATTTAACAATTTTAGTGTTATTAGAATTGTATTATCATAAAGATTTAATAATATAAAAATTATTTGTATATAACTGTTAAATATTTAAAAATTTAA